GGGGCCTGTCCCCATGTCACCTGAGACCAGCAGCAGCCAAGAAGCTCTGCAGAGGCAGCCCCTGTTCTGGCACAGCTGGACATGGTGTCCACCCCATGGTGCAGCATGGCAGCAGGTGCTGGAGCTTTGCTGCATCCTGGGCTCCTCAGAGATGCTGTTGTGTCCTGAGCCTGGTGGGACAGCAAAAGGAAACGGAGGCAGCCCCAGAGAATCCCACGGAAAGGAAGAGACAACAAAGGGAGGCCTTAAGTCCTGTTCAGTGCCTGAACAGGTCTGGTAAGGGCTTTAGAGGGAAGGGGCAGTTGGCATTAAACCTGAGCATGGCCCTGCAAAGTGAGGGACTAAAATTAGGCACTGAGATAAATGGTCAGAGGTGCTGAGCCACCAGGGACACTGTCACCGTGGCCGTCCCTGCTGGGGTGCCATTGCCATGAACCACCACCACAAAAGCATGTCACTCTGCTCCACCATAACTCTGGGCTAGACAGCAGGGGGCTGTGCAAGGACACCATGCACAGGCAGCTTCTGCCCCCTTCCCTGCTCCCGAATCCAGATGAGTGCAGACTGTTCCCTGGGAAAAGGAAAAGTTCCAAGGCAGTTTGATTGCTGAGTGCAGGTGGAGGCGAGTGGAGCAAAACCCTGTGCTGGGAGCCCAAGACGGACACATCCAACCTTGAAACAAGAGGCAGCCCTGTCAGGGAGGATCAGGCAGTGCTGGCATGGCAAGGTGCTGGCTGTGTGCATAGAATGATAGAATAATTTTGTTTGGAAAAGACCTTAAGATTGTGAAGTTCAACCATTAACTTAGTACATTGCATCGTCCACCACTAAATCATGTCCCTAAGTACCACATCTACATGGATTTTAAATACCTCCAGGGATGGGGACTCCACTCCCTGGGCAGCCTGTTCCAGGGCCTGACAACCCTTTCGGTAAAGAAATTTTTCCTAATATCCCACCTAAACTTCCCTTGCTGCAACTTGAGGCCATCCTCTCTTGTCCTATTCCTTGATAATTGGGAGAGGAGATCAACACCCACTTCGGTACAACCTCCTTTCAGGTGGGTGTAGAGAGGATAAGGCCTCCTTTCAGCCTCCTTTTCTCCAAACTAAACAACCCCAGATCACTCAGCTGCTCCTCATAAGACTATGAGACTGCTGCTCATAAGCTCTAGAACCGTCACCAGTTTTGCTGCCCTTCTCTGGACAAGCTCCAGCACCTCAATGCCCTTCTTGTAGTGAGGGGCCCAAAACTGAACACAGTATTCAAGGTGTGGCCTCACCAACACAGAGTATGTGGTGGCATCCTGAGGGCCTGGTCCAGCCCGGTCCTCCCTGTACTGCCGAGCCCCAGGGGCCTGTCCCCATGTCACCTGAGACCAGCAGCAGCCAAGAAGCTCTGCAGAGGCAGCCCCTGTTCTGGCACAGCTGGACATGGTGTCCACCCCATGGTGCAGCATGGCAGCAGGTGCTGGAGCTTTGCTGCATCCTGGGCTCCTCAGAGATGCTGTTGTGTCCTGAGCCTGGTGGGACAGCAAAAGGAAACGGAGGCAGCCCCAGAGAATCCCACGGAAAGGAAGAGACAACAAAGGGAGGCCTTAAGTCCTGTTCAGTGCCTGAACAGGTCTGGTAAGGGCTTTAGAGGGAAGGGGCAGTTGGCATTAAACCTGAGCATGGCCCTGCAAAGTGAGGGACTAAAATTAGGCACTGAGATAAATGGTCAGAGGTGCTGAGCCACCAGGGACACTGTCACCGTGGCCGTCCCTGCTGGGGTGCCATTGCCATGAACCACCACCACAAAAGCATGTCACTCTGCTCCACCATAACTCTGGGCTAGACAGCAGGGGGCTGTGCAAGGACACCATGCACAGGCAGCTTCTGCCCCCTTCCCTGCTCCCGAATCCAGATGAGTGCAGACTGTTCCCTGGGAAAAGGAAAAGTTCCAAGGCAGTTTGATTGCTGAGTGCAGGTGGAGGCGAGTGGAGCAAAACCCTGTGCTGGGAGCCCAAGACGGACACATCCAACCTTGAAACAAGAGGCAGCCCTGTCAGGGAGGATCAGGCAGTGCTGGCATGGCAAGGGAGGGCTGGGCTCTAAAAGGAGATCAGCTCGGGTTCTTAAGAGGTTATTCAATCTGGTTTATGGGGAAAAAAATCAGGAGATGTAGCTGAGAGGTGATACAGGCTTTAGCAAGCCTGGGGGCAATGGAGCCATGGTGGGGGCCAGGGCTGAGTGGAAGGGTCGGGAAGGTCCCTGGATAGACCTGGGAAGTCCCTGGACCAGCCTAGAGCTGGTGTGAGAAGGGCTGATGCACCCCACCCGTGCCCATGGGGTAGGGTCACAAGGGAGAACTGTCAGCATAAGAGGGGCAGAGCAGTGGGACACAGTGGGGATGGTGAGACACAATGGGGATGGTGTCCCCCCAGGGAGCCCCTGTGCCCAGGTGCTTAGCCAGCCCCACATGTGGGCTCCCCGCTCCCCACACCGAGCACTGACGCGCTCAGGGAACCTGGGAGAAGAGCAGGAGAAAATCATTAGTGGGGTGGAGCGACAGATTCAGGGCAAGGGATTAGAGGAGCTAAATCAGGCTCGTGTGAGCAAGGGGGAATGCTGAGCTGGTACAGGAGGAGCTGCTGGGGACAAGCGCAGAGCTGAGCAGTGCAGAGCCCCCCCACCCCACCAGCAGTGACCTGAGCCACCTTGGGGAGAGCTGATACTGGCCCCATGGAGAGCTGCAGCCTGACCTGCACACTGGATAGAGAGAAGGTGGAGGACTGGGCTCTGTGCCCACCAGAGACCATGACCTGGTGGCAGCAAATGGAGAGAGGGCACCCCAATGCCTCCAGACATGTGGGGCTAGGACCCCAAGCCCCGAGGAAGACCTCATCCTGCCTGGGGACTTGACAGACATCCCCCTTGCCCCATAACTAGCCAATGACCCAGCTTACAAGTGCCCTCAGGGAACAAGGACTGGATGTCCCTGCCTGGCACAGGGATGTCACAACCACCAGTGCACCTTCTATGGTCCCCAGAGAGCTGGGTCTCAGTGTGGGGAGCCCCTGAACAGTTGAGGCCAGTGAAACACAACACATCCTGGCAGGGAGTCAGGGCAGGCGGAGCAATGGCATGACTCTTCCATTTCACATGATGACCAGTCCCACCATTTGGCCACTGGCATGGAGAAAGAGGCCTCAGGGGAACAACACACAGGGCCAGGTGAAGGGACAGGACCACTCCCCACATCTCATCACCTCCACACCAGCACATGGTGCTCCCCAGACACTGCCACAGCAGACCAAAGGGGCTGTTCTGCCCTGGAACAGGAGCAAAGCCACACTAGGAGCTGCCCTGCTCCTTGCCCAGCCCAGTGGCCCAGAGCCTGCACGGCTTCAGAGGATCTCTGATCCAGGGCTGGCTCTTTGGGTGGCTGTTTGCTCAATGGAGGTGCACCCATCACCAAGAGCCTGCCTGGTGGAGTGCCCAGGGCAGGGTGACATTCACGCAGTGTATTAGGCAAACCTGGCTGCTCCATCCCTCCCTCAGCTGCTCCAGAAAGGCGGCTGGGAATCAGGAGCAGGGACGAGTGCATCAGCACAATGGGAACGGGCACCTGGGGAAATCAGGCAGTGCCTCACTGCTGGGCAGAGGCAGGGGGGCCCGGGACAGCAGTGCCATGGAGAGGTGCGGCTGCACACCAGAGTGTGAGAACAGGGTGGCCCCCCACCTCAGTCCCCTAGGACAGGCTGCTCCTGCCCTGTGGGGCAGTGCACATCTCCCACTCTCTCTGCACACAGCACCAAGCACCCGACTGCACAGTGCCACTGTCCCCAAAGGCATGATGAGAGCAACACAGCACAGACCAACTGCAGGGCAGGAACCCCTCCTGCACACATCTCTGCTTCCCCTGTCCATCCACTAGGCCCATGAGCATCACATAACCCTTCCTCCATCCTCCAAACAACGCTCCTCCAGCCCTCTGGATCACACAGAGGAACTCTTCTTCTCCACTGCTCCCCTGCAGCACTGCAAAGGCTCCTTCTGTGCCCCCACTGCCACCCAGTCCCCACTCAAGATGAAGCCTTTCCAGCACACCTCCCATGCTGCCAAGCCCCTGGGGCAGCTCCTTTCCTGGAGCTGGGACTGGTGCAGTCCCAGCCACGGGACTCAGCACCACCTCCTTTGCTCCCTGCCCTCGCTGTCCCCAGGCAGACAGCACAGCTCGCATCTCCGAGCGGTGCCACCGGCCAGCCCCACATGCTCCCTGACGTCCAGGTCTGTAACACCCCAGAGAGGGGGCATCCATCCTGGGGCAGAGGCGGCTGAGCCCCAAACGTTCCTGAGCCCCTGTGCAGGATGAGGCCCACCCATAAGCAGCTCCCGTGTGCTCACGGGCTGATGAGCACAGGGGCTGCCATAAAGCTCTAATTAACCACCAGACCCCGCCCACCAAAAAGCCCAGGTTCCACCCCTCGTCAGTGCCGCCCCCTGCCGCATTAGGCTCCTCCCTCCGGCCCCACGCCCAGAGAGTTCCCGGTTTCTCAGCGCAGCCCCGGAGCCCGGTGCCACAGGTAGCTCTGCTCGTGGGCAGCAGGTGCACGGAGGTGGCTTGTGGAGGGGCACCGGGCTCTACCGGGGTCCGTGTTGGTGGTTGCAGAGAGTGGCACCACCAGTGCCATGCCCCCAAGCCACGTCTCTATCTCTCTCTCTCTCTCTCCTCCTGCCCCAAGCAGGCTTGGCATCACATACCCCCAACACATCCATGCCCAGCCCTGGCACCCTGCCTGGCCTGGCAGCCGGTGCTGCAGCCACATGCTCGCTCCAGGCCTGAAAGCCACCCTGGTGCTGGTGGCACCAGGCACCCCATCCTGCAGCAAAGTCCAGCCCTGGCTGGCCCTGGGCATGCACTACAGCTGCGACCTGCAAAGCACCGCAGCCACCCTCAGCAAACACGTGCCCAGGGATGTGCCAGCACAGCCGTGCCAGCAGCCACGCCGCCCTCACCTTCCATGTCGATGATGGCCAGCACGGCGCTGCTCATGGCCTCTCCCCGCTCATTCTCGGCCACGCACGTGTACACACCAGCATCCTCCTTCTTGCTGTCCCGGATCCAGAGGGTGCCATATTCCTCCTCTTGCGGGGCCAGAACCTCCTCGTTTCGGTACCAGCGGAGGCTGGGCTGGGGGTTGCCCACGACCACCACCCGCAGCCGGATGTCGCAGCCGGTGCCGATCGCCGCATTCTTCAGCTTCCGCACAAAAAAAGGCGCCGGCAGCCGCGC